GGAGCTCTGCAAATCTATGCAGCGCTCTGGGTTAGAGTGACAGACAGACTGAATGACACATACTTGAATGAGGAAATGATTTAGGGAAACTAAAACCGTACGTGGCTGTACAAAAAAAAAAATCAGACTCTGGACCACAGTTGCTGAGTCACTGAAATTAAAGACGAATAATCAGCACAGCAATTAAAGTGGAAGTGGTTAAAAAATTTATTTCCCCACTCCGATGACTGTTTAAGAACTATGAAATGTTACAGGTATAATCACTGATGAAATGTAATTGCCAAGTATAAGAGCCGAGCACAGCTGAAAGGAAGGGCTGGCTACATGTCCAGAAACGCTGCCTAGTGTCCAATAAGCATCCGTCGCCAATCCTCTTCGATCAGGTTCTTTTAAACAAGTGACTTAAACCTCAGCTGCCTGTAATCTATTTAAAAGGGTTAAATTTTACTTTAAAATAACACAGAATAGCAAGGATCATGGATGCTCGGAGTGACACAAGAAAGGAAAAACAGAATCACAGAAAAGCTGGAGCGCGCTGGATTAATGAAGCAGGTCCTAAGCGCTTCCAAAAAACACATGAAGAAAACATCCATTTGCCTGACAAAACAAATGAATACTTTGGAAGAATTTTACCGCTATCTCTATGATAGGTACCATAGACTACATGGGCAAGGAAGCAGACACATTTCCAGCCTCTAGCAGAACACTCTCCTAGGGAGATAAACTGCACGCTGGATAGCTGATTTAGCCACATGGTGAGCACACAGCCAAGACAGTTTTCAAAACGCAACTAGAAGCTAAAGACTACTCAAATTTCCACCCTTCGGTGCCTACTTTTCCTCCCCACCCTTCCCGCCTGCAGTAGGAACAGTGCTGTTAATGGAACATAACCACATTACTCCGGGGGGGGGGCACACGCAGAATTCATGTGCCACGCAGAATGTTTTTTCTCAGCAGAAAATACAAGTTCTGCAGTTACGCCTTTTGCGCACCAGGGGTCACTGTGGCCGTGCCACTTCTGGGCAGGAGCAGCCTCAGCTCCTGCTAAGGAAGAGAAGAGGCTGCATTCTTCGCAGTGCCCTGCCCATGGGGCCAGGTCAAGAGGCACGGGATATAGGGGGACGGACAGCGTGGGGCACATGGGGCTGCTGGGGGGTCAGATTGGGGTTCAAAAGGGCTGGTGGGGGAGACAGACTGGGGCAGAGGATGAATGGGAGGAGGAATGCAGTGACATGGAGATGAGGAGGGGGCGCGGAGACGGGGAGGGGTAATAGGGGTACAGAGACACATGGGGGAGAAGAGGTGGCTGAGTGGGGGTGCAGGAACATATGAGGCCAGGGCCAGATGTGCCTGACTGAATGAGAGAGGCTAGTGGTCAACCAGCGTCTGCATGTGGGAGGCTCCTCAAAAGTCCCCCTCCCCACACAAAAAAACACAAACCCCGTTCCATACTTTTCCCACCTACACCCAACAATTCCCCGAGTTCATATCCAGGCTTCTTCCCAGCAATTACTTCCCTCTCCCTCAGCTCCTCTGTTTCCCTGGACTCCCGCAGGCCTTTGCACTGCTTCTGAGGGGTTCAGGAAATCAGTTTCTGTATTGTAGTGTAAATGAATGATTACTCAACGGTCTGTAGTTATATGTCTAGTAAGAAATCAATTTGTCAAAAAACATTTCCTCAATCTTTCTGTTATCTGTATTGTTAGAGACACACCTGCTGATAGGTATTTTGAAATAAATTACTAAAATTATTGAAACTGATGTGATTATGTTATTTCAACAAATAAAATATGCAGAATTTTAAAGTATTGTGAGCATAATTTTTAATTTTTTGGCGCAGAATTCCCCCAGGAGTACCACATGCATGATGAAACCAAACATGCACTTCTTGTCTGCTCTAGAACCGTCACTCCACTGTACAGAAAAACCACATTCCCCAGAACACAGAAAAGTCTTGACCATTTGTAAAGCACAGGTGGCATGAAAGGTATGTGAAAAACTTAGTGTTTGAGGTATGGGCAGAACGTTACTGCTCAGGGAGGGACAGACGGTTAACGCCTGTCAGTGAGGAGCAACCAATCAGGTGCTTTGCAACCAGGTATGTGCCAGCTGATTGGAGACAGTACGTTCTGTAACATACACCTCTTTCCCTTAGGATGGGCCTGCTAGTCTATCTTCACAGCAGGCATCTCCAGGGTCTTTCAGGGTAGAACAGAATTAGTGAGCAAATCCCGTAGGAAATCAATCAGCAGTGTTCTTGTTTTTTAAAATGAGGTACATTATTTCCATCCTATGGGCAAAAGCAGGCTCCCCTACTGCATCTAGAACCTCAGACTAGATCAGTACAATTACAATGGCTGCGCCCTTCCTACACACCCCACTCCCTATGCGCCATGCCTCGCTGCTTCAGTCAGCAATATACACAAATTGAGGACAAAATCTCAAGGCCACAGATGGGTAACTGGGCAGAACCAGCCTCTGCACAGTAGAGGAATCCAGGATGGGAGTTCTTGAGACTGATTGCTTTAGTTCTGAGGCAGAACAACAGGAACTGATCAGTGCCTCGGGGGAAGAATGCACTACTGCTCTGCAGGGAATGGGATTTTGTTTTTGTTTTTTTGTGTGAAGGAAGAGGTCCCGTCCTCCCAACATCCTCAGACAGGATGGCTCTGTTCTGAGCAGGTTTTGGAAAGAGGTACCAAAGAGCTGTCTAGAGAGAAGTTTAGCACATCAGACCTATAAGAAAGGCACGGAAACAAACCTTTTTACACAATGCAAAATGACCCCAAAGAATCCAAAGGAAGAACACCAAAAAAACCCTTTCCCATCCTCACTGCCTACAGAGAAGCAAGAAAGTCCAATGGAGCACAGATGGGTCCTTATTTTATGGTGAAAGGTTTGAAAGGAATCAACCTTGGGCTTCAACTCTCCTTCTCCACTCAGAACGTTAGCATCACACATGCACAACCTAAGGGCTTTTGTGGGGAGGGAGGGGGTTTAAGTTCTAAAAAAACATCATCCAATATTTACATAAAAGCTTTTGTTTTAAAGCATGAGAATATAAAACTCGGAGGAATGCTATAAGAAGTACTTTCAAGCACATTATTCTGTCATAGGTATAACTTTAAATGCAGTTTTGTCAGTACATAAATAACCCAGCTTATTTATAGGAGGGATTCAGTTCATTGAGAGCTGGCTCTGCGTGCCGAAGGGCGTAAGGAGGGCAGGGCGTGCTTTGGGGCCATTTTTGTTTTTAATTTTTTTTAAACTGCCTAGATATAGGGACTCAAACATCCTTGAAAGATAAAAACTAGTGATAAATCACAGATCCCATATTAAAGTGCGAGGAGACACAGGAGGGTCTTTGTAGGGATTTCTCCCATTGGTACCATAGAAACTCCAGTTAAAAACTGCCCTATGTTACTGAGGATAGGGAGGCCACACACAAAGAGGAGATGGGGAGACAACACAGGTTTAAGACGTGATTCGCACACACAGCAGCTTACGTGTGGGGAGAGAGGGAGGAGGAAGGTGACATGCGCGCAAGACAGTCTAGAGGGGCCGGGGACAGGATGGCAGGGCTGTGGGCAGGACTGGACCACACACACACACACACACACACACACACACACACACATCACAAGCAAATGGAGGTGAGTGAGAGGACAGCAGGTACAGCAGTTCAGGTGCCAAATTAGCACTTTGCATGTCACGTAGCACTAGTTAAACTTGCACACGCTCTTCTGTGGTGGCACCATACCAGGGATCCAAGTACGGATCCTGAAGGCCAGTCCAAAATGGAGCCTTGAGAACCTACCATCCTTTTTACTCATGCACAGCTTTCTTTCCACCCACTCCCCTTCAACATTCACTCCCTACCTTTCTTGCTAATTTTGTGGTATCAACCAGCAGCAGGTGAGAATGCAGTGAGCGGCCACCACCCTTTGTCAAAAAGCCAAAGTGTGTCACCTAACTTCTACCAGCTGGAGATACAAAGAGGGCCTGGAAGGTGGGTCCCTCTCCCACGATGCCATCAGGTTGGCTACAATTTTTTTTAAGCAAACAAAATCAGAGCCTTGAGTAACGTACTCCACCTTCCCCGTTTAGCGGGGATACTTGCACCGAGTCTTACCCACAAAGCCAGAATGTCCTCAAGGTTTACAGAGGCTTCAGCAGCCACCCAATTGAGGGCTACTACCCTTACTACCGCAGTCCCTGCCATGGACAAGTAAGCTGCAATACTGTCCGTGCCTTCAGAGCCCTGTGACACACTGCAGACACACGCTTCCCTCACAACCTCATTGCACAATAAGTGCTGGACTGAAAAACCTTTCCACCGACAAAAGAAAAAAGTGTTCTAGTCCCACCACCTGCCCACCACCCTCCCCATACACAGTTTAACAGAAGTGTTTCAGTAACAATAGCGTTTTAAAGGAATCAAAATCCAGCTTGTCTGATAGTAAACATCTACTGTGTTTCCAAACCTCTCGTCCTGTAAGTGCTAATGCCAAATTCTACCAGGGTGAGAGAGATGTAGTGATTTGTCACGGAAAAGGCAAGGCTAAGCCAAATCAAGGGCAGCCCAACAAGCCTGAACTCTCCTAAGGAACCTGCTGCACAGTAGTTCTGCTTCCAAGGAAAAGGGGCCATCGTCTGTGCCACGTCTCTCATCTCTTGATTAAAACCAGTGGATGGTGGGAACATGTTAGTTTTCCAGTGTTCCTTTGTTCTGAAGGGAGATTCCTCTCACTTCCCACCCTGGTCATCAGTTAAGTCAGAGAAAGTTACATTCTAGCTTTGTGCACACACAAAGCGGTACTTGTTAGAGAGATACCGGGTCCAGACCTGTGGCGATGCAGCTTTCGGAGTAGCTACGCTGATCTGCTAGCAGTGAGATTGCTCTGAGTTATGGTCCCCATGATTAGTGTCTTTTTTTTTTTTTTTTTAGTGTTTGATGAGCCTCAACCATATCCTGCGGAACGTGTTTGGGTGTTTCTGCGGCTCTGGCAGGATCTTTCCCATGCACAGGCTGAGGGTGCTGCGAAGAGCCAGTCAAAGGACATGTTCTGTACAAGCAGCCAAGTGGACAGAAGCAATAGATCTCAGAGCCCTAGATTGAACTCGGTAGTGTTGTCATGAACGTAGGTTGGCTTGGATCAGAACCAATCACACTTGAACAGATTCAGTACTCAAAAGTGCCCCCCCCCAACCCCCACAAACAAGAGAAAGGTCCAATGTCCTCTTCAACCCAGTCCCAGGCACCAGTCTGGAACGCTCAAAATGTGCACCCAATGCCCCAACTTGTTCCTGCTTTCTCAGACTGCCAACACAGCTGTAGCTTGCAACAGGATGGTAGAGAGAGGGGGACAACAGAACCCTGGGTTTTCTTTCCAATCTCCACGCTGTGTGAGAAAAGACCAAACCTCCTTTCTCCCACACCAGTTCACAGTGTGTGCTGCTCCGCTTGAAGCTGGGGTGGGAGAAGAGGCTGGAGAGGAGACTGTGGTGATGGAGGAGGAGTCTGTGGTGGGGACGGCTGAGTCATCACAGGTGTGCTGGATAAGACAGGTGTGCTGGCAGGAATCGCTGACGGAGAACTGGGTGTAGCACTGGGGGGCTCGATAATTGGTCGATTGTAGAAAAAGAAGGGGCACTGCTGGATGAAGAGTTCAATGATTGTCTGATAGGTGCGAGTTGCAGTGAGAGCGTCCATAGTGCTGAAGTCAGGTCTCATCAAGGTGGGCCAGAAGCAGATGGAGAGGTTCTCGCTCGTCATCAGATTCACTCTGTTGTTGTGACTGACCCTGCAACAGACAACAGAGAGAGGCCGTGAGCACAGTCTGTTCACAACAGGAAGAACGCTCACATATCTAGGACGTGAAGGGTACAGGGAGTAATCAGTTGGCATCCAACTCGTCCCCTTGACAGCATTATCCAAATTCCGGTGGACTAGGAAACCATGCTCAAAACCACACCCAAGCTATCATGTGCCTTCTGGGAGAGCTCTTCCGCTTCCCTCCCACGGGCCGTGCAGAACGATGAATGCAGGCTCCCTGCTGACTTCTAAACTCTGCAGCACCAGAAGTGACCTTACACCTCCAGAAGCAAGTGACATCCTAAGCAGAAACTAATGGAGTTGGAGAGATGTGGGTCTAATGTAGGTTTTCCCCATAGAATTCTGCTAATTCTGATGTAGCAACGTTTATGGAACTTAATTAGCCCCCGATAAATGACATGCCCGCCTAATTGGGACAACTGCCAAGGAACAAATTCACTCCAGGCTGCTTCCCTACTCTATTACAGCTGCTAAATAAGTCAAAATTAGCTTAATATTGTTCCAATGCTTTGTACACAGCTTATGTTAAGAAGCTGTTCATGGAATAAAGGGGACAGTCTATGTATCCAACCGCCATCCATGGTCAGACAGAAGTAAGAGATCTTGTACATACTTGTTCAAATGAAAGATGACATATTTGAAGACCTCATAGTTCTCCTTGGGAAATTTCTTCAGCACCTCTTTGAGCGCATGTAGCTTCTGCTCTCGGTCATTAATTTCTGTCAAAAGAAAAAAACGATGAGAATCAGAAATTTCTGAGGAAGTGAAATGCTCATGAGCCTTTGATGAGCTGATTAAATACAACTCAAAGGCCGCCAGCAGCAAAGAGAGCCTGCTCAAACATATGGATGTGAATCCCACTGGGTCTTCTCCAAAGAGGAGCCAAGCACCTCAGGGAATCTGTTCAGACAAGTGTCATCCTACTGTTCAATCCAAAAGTTTACCATCAGCAGCTAACCCTAAAGCCACATGCACTTAACTGTTGTGCCACAGGTGGTGTAGGATAGATTCACCCTTTAAACGCACAAATCGCCGCATACGGAGAAGTGCTACATCCTACTTGGTTGCATGACCTCCAGGGTGCAACAGTGAGTGAGCAGATTCATAGCTCAATTAATAAGTCTTCCCTACAAAGAACACATCATCCTTGGTGTACTGCTATATTGCCTTTGGGGAACATAATTACCACACTCGTATCTTCCTTTTCCATCCAGTACATGGCCTAGAAAAGCAGTCCAATAGAGCTGCGTATGTACCTTCGAGTAAAGCATTATCAAAGACAAACACTGGGCACAATCAGATAAGACTGGCATCCCAACACTGGATGAAGAGGGATGAAAGCTGGAGCACCAGGCTGGTATTTTTGATATCCAGCACACATAAGAAGAGAATTCCTTGTTACATCTGAGTAAGTCTCCTCCTGCACATCAGACCATAGTTTGATACAGAAGGCTGCTCTGTGTGTCTAACTTAGACATGCCCAGAGAGGCCAGTAGGGAGGGGAGGGTGCTGCAAGTTGGAATAAGCCTGGAGGCTGACAACAAGGCAACGAACTCCATCTTTTGAAGGTATCAAGATCTGGCCTTGTACCCTACTGGCTCTAGGCCCTCATTCTGAGGTGGGGAGGGAAAATTATGAAGCAGCATTGGTACTATATACTTCCCTATCCTGCTCCTGAGCATCCTGAACAACAGGTCTCCAGCGCTCTCTCTCTCCTTCAAGGACAGGGCGGAGATTGGTACCTCCACCATATTCTATCATCCATAAAGTACATGCAGCTCTCCAGAATAAAGGAGAATAAATTCACTGGCATAAATTGCCTAGGGAGGTTGTGGAATCTCCATCTCTGGAGATATTTAAGAGTAGGTTAGATAAATGTCTATCAGAGATGGTCTAGACATTATTTGGTCCTGCCATGAGAGCAGGGGACTGGACTCGATGACCTCTCAAGATCCCTTCCAGTCTTAGAATCTATGAGTCTTCCTCCCCTTATACACCCCTCGCCATTATACAACCCAATCAAGGGGAAGAGAGGATTTACAGGAAGATGACCCACATTTATCCCACTCTAGGTATAACCTCATCCTCTACAATCAACCTGATGTTTCAGATATGAGCAATAACCCATTGCTGCTACAAATCATCAGTCTTTTCCACCTGTTTCAGAAGATCCTGCTCTGGTGCTGAAGAGCAGAGGCACCTAACAATGAGCCAGATGATGTGGCCTAACTCTTTGAACCTGGTTAGTTCCCAGATGGATAGCTTACCTAGGAACTGGCTGGCTTTAAGGGAGGGTTAGGGGCACTAGTACTAGTCCCTGCAGCAAGGAGACAGGCAGGACTCTAGAGAGAAGCAAGTTGTGCTCCTCATTGCCCGTAACTGTCCCTGATCTCTAGCATATGATTTCAACCCAGCCAACCTTTGTGGGACTGGGAACCACTATTGGAAAGCAGGTTGGTTGAAAACCAATGAAACCAGAATGGGCAGTAGCTGAGCATTAGGCTGGCAGAGGGAAAGAACTGGTCCTCGGGAGCAAAGGTTGGTGAAGAGAGGCTTAAACTGAAATAAACATGTCCACACCTTTTGCACCAGTTTAATGAAATTGCTTTAGAATCACACCTGTAAAACCAGTGCTACTCTGCATGTACACAAACTCTTGGTGATTTGGAGACGTCTCTCCAAACCATCGGCCTTCGCTAAAAAAGTCTCTTTCAGAAAGAATTAAATGGAAGGAAAATATGATCTTCCACTACACTGAACTGACAATGGTGTTCCCTGGACTCCCCCATCAAGCCCAGGGTAACTTTTGGATGTACCTGGCGCCTTCCTTGAAGCCAAAGAGGCATGTCAAACATTGTTCTGGTTATGTATTTACCATTCCAGCGGTGGCTGTCTGTGTACTGAGGTTTTGGAACAAAAGTATCCCACTGCTGTTAAAAGTGATTCAGCAGTACCAGGTAACAAAAGTCCTCTACCCTTCCCGGGAACTATCAGGATAATCCATTAATACTGTCAGGTGCCTGGATATGGAGATTGTAATTAAAATAAATATGAAATATGCAGAAGGGAACTGAGTTAACGAGAATCTGTGTTATTCATTTAAATTCTCAGCCTTAATATTTTATTTGCATTTCCCCCGCCATTGAATTGTACATCTAAATTCCTGCTTGCATGTGTAGGTTTGTCTTGCAGGCCTCATTTCATTGCTCCGCTTAGCCCTTGGGTAGATGTTCCACAAGTTAAAATGCGCAGGGCTGTGCCTCTACCACACTTAAAGATGCTGTGAATATCCGCGAAAGGGCAGTAGCAACAAGGACACTTAATGAAAAGGGAAATTAAATCCACACCAGGCTCTCACTGTTTTAACGTGCTGTCTTCACAGCAGAATCAACTGGGATGATATGCGTGTTTTAGAAAGGCTGCTGCACTAGAATTACTTGATTTTTCTTGCCAAGATTTCTTAAGTCAAAAAAAAGAAATGCAAACAAAAGATGCTGTGTCAGCAATTTTCTCACACAATGGAATTTTTAGCATGCCTTTATCTTTTCCACCTCTAGATGGCACCATGGCAAGGCTATCACTAACAAACCTATTTGCTTCCAGCAGGCTGTGAACCCCTAAACATAACTGCCAAGAGAGCCATTTTTCCAGCTGAATCCATGGCTTTCCTAGCCTAATTAATATGCATTAATCCAAAGGCTCTTTCTCTAAGGGCACTGGTCACGTTAGCCCCACACAACTTTATCTTAAGGATAGGGGAGGAGGAAAAGAAGTGTACTGAAGGAAGCAACTACTGTGTGTGTGTGGGGACAGACTCACTGGGTCTTTAATCCTTTCCTCAGCATGATGTCTACTGCTAACATTAGATGCCCTCAAACCACTGGCGATGGAGTTCTCTTCCCTGACATTAACCCATTCTCGGAAACTTTCAGCCCACCCAAGTTCAGCATTGAAAGCATTTATAAACTCCAGCTGATCCAGGAAGAAAAGCCTTCTATGGAACACTGAGACATTAACAGGCAGTGCTGTGTATTACACGGTCTCCCTCTATTTGTGGCAAACAGCAGCATGCTCCAGAGACCCAACTGACTGTCAAGAACCATCCTGTAGGAGTGCGTATCATCGGACCCAGCTCATACAGGGCAACTAGATATAGAGTCACTGGGTTGGGTGGCAGGCCGGGCACATAAGGAGATACCACTCACTATAATGTATTCATTGTGGCAGCCTAGGTTCTGCTGTGAGAAGACTACTTTGGCTAGATCAGGGCTTGGCTGCTGATAGAGATCACGTACTGACCGAGCAGCTAGACTGAAAGCCTTGCTCAGCCCTAAGAGGTAGCAGCTGCCTTTTTGGCATGTGAAAGCAGTGGGTCAATGCCCCCGCCGAGCAGCTAGAAAAAGAAATAAAGGGAAGGAAAAACTTGTGCAAGGGCTAAACTCCAAACCGAGAGATTAAGGATTCACCCCACTGAGGTGCAAGGAAACTGGCTGCAATTTTGGATTTATACCTGCCCAAACAACGCTGACTTCAGGACCCATTGCATCCCAGGGCAATATATTGGAACAAGCAAATTTCCAGACGCACCCAAGTCCTGCATTTGTGTCTCGCAATCCACGTCCTAAAGAACGTGATGTTATAGGCAGAGGATAGAACGGTATGATTAGGAAAGCACCACAAATGTCTCAGCTCAGTTCTTGCTCTAAGCTCTACAAGCGGAGACAGTTATTACTGTTGTCATGATGACAACACACAATACGGACTAAGTCAATTAAAGCTAGGAAATTTGCAATTAAAGCCAAGGCACTGCCAGCACAACGTGCTCTGCCACTATGTTGATGTATTTCAGACAGGAGAAAGCAGTTTCCTATAATGCCAGATGGACAGAAGAATTTGGATTCTTTATGCTCTGAAACAATGGTGTCACCCATTGCCTTGTGCATACTCACTGTGGGCCTCCACCAGTTCAATCTGCATATTGTACGGTACCAGAGGATCGGGTAGTTCTGAGAAGAAGCTTTTCATGGCACCAGCCACAGTATTCACTGTAAAGTCCTTCTCTGCCAGGTCTAGATTGTGATCTACAATGAAAGCATTTAACAGTTAAAACTCACCAAACACAAGACATGCAGCTGCTGCAGTGAAGCAAATGACACGCATGAGATCCTGACAGGGAAGAGATAGAAATCACTTGGCGGGCTACAAATGAGACTTAGGCCCTCTACATTCAGCACTTTCTCTATGTGACAAACAGCTAAAAAACACGTCTTGCACAGAACACAGAGTAACCATCCCTCGGTCTTGTGCGAAACTCCAATCCTGTAAGATGACGCCCATTTGACTGATTGCTAAACAGAAGCTCTGAGAGGGCAGTTAATTTGACAGGTCCAGAAAAGGGATAAAGGAGTCCTGACTTCCATTCTTACCCTACCCAGTAGGTAATACTGCCTGCCATGAACCTTTTGGATCTGGCTAATGAGATTACTAATATTCCTGCCTTGTCCTATTTTTCAAAGCCACCTGCAGTTTGTAAATACTTTTCTGCTAATTTATCTATCTTCTTACAGATCCCTCCCCCAAAGCAGCTACTGATGAAGAAACTCAAATGTGGCATCATTGCAGTTAATGTCTGTAGGCACCTTTAAAATGTTAAAAATCACGTAAAATGATATTATAAGAGTTTTGCTCTATCATGTCACCCTATAGTAGACATCATCGTAAAGCTAGTTTGAATCCCTAAACTTTTCATATGACTAGAGCTACATTTATTCAGTTTTAAGTCACTTTATCATGTTTAAAGTCCTAAATTTGCTTTTTCAGACCAGGAAATAATCAAAATCCCAATGGTCAGTGAGGGCCCTGGAAGAACAAAACATTAGGAGTTACAAAAACACTGGAAGTTTAAACACTGGTACACGGGAATTAGTAGTTTCATTTATCTGCACTAAATAAATCTCTTAAACACTTTATTGAAGGAACATGTCAAACAAGAACTCCTACACAAAGTGGCAAAACCTCATGTGAATACATTAATTACAAACAACTGAACCACTCACAGAACAGTGTGGAAGGAAAGGGAGAGACTTAGATAAGGGCAAAGGGAAAGTGTCAGATAAGATGGTCTACAGAGGCCAGGAGCAACAAAGACACACAAAAACTGCCAAACGTACAAGCTTTTGATGTCCCAGAGCCAGAAAATCCTATTTGCAAGCGTTATGGTACATATTGTGATGCCAGGAATTTAAAAACCAAGGCAGGAATTGCAAGGTCACGAATATCAGTTCTGCCCATGCTACAAAAATAGCTGCAGTTAAATTTGGTTGTCACCCAAACATGTTATAACACGTTTTCACCTCACTTGTGTCATCAGAAAAGACTTGCTCTGTTTGAAGGGACATAGCGAACTTAAAACTCATATTACTGACATCCTTTCCCCTACAATTGTTCCAAGTAATACCTATGATTACTGTAATTGAAAGATTAGAGAAAAGATATTTCTCATTGTGTTTTCACTTTGCTTACTTGGCGCATTTGACAGCACATTGCTTCTATTCAGTTTCACTGTTTCCCCTGCAGTTAGTTTCCCACTATCAGTGGATTTTCCACATAGCAACAGAAGAGAGAGGGGGAAAAAAAAAAAGGGGGGGGGGGGGAAAATTGTAACAGAACAAAAACTGGCAAGAGGCTCAGGGTACCTTAAACTAATTTAACTCATTTTCTAACCTGCCCAGTTCTTAAGTTGTGTGAATCCTTTAAAGAATCATGCTTTAGCCTAGGAATCTAGAAGCCTTATAACAGGTTACTTTACACGGTCTAAAGTGCACAACACCATGATTAAATATGATTATTTTCAAGGACCTAATGTCTGTGCGGTACTCTGGCACCCCCATCTAAATTTAAACATGGACATTTAGTTAAATATGAACACAAACAATCAGTATGCTAGTCACCATGGTATTTGTTTTGATTATCAACTGTTGATACAACATAAAATAAATTTAAGTGTTGAATGTGCTGAAAATTTGTGCATTGACAATACAAAACTGGATGGCAATAGGTGTCTGGGACCGATGGGAGTTGGGTAAACAACAGGTGGGGCTTCTGGAATCTGGGAAGACATGGGACACAGTTTGGGATTGTGAACTAAATACAACAGCTGGATGTTTCTACTAAAATTATCAGCCTCAAGCAGTGAAACTGTAGTTTAAAATTATTTTGTTTTGTGTTTCAGAGTTAACCCCATTAAGATAATGGAGCAGCTCACACCTCTGAGGTCTTGTCTAGATTATAAATTTGTTTACACAACCTGGAATCAAAATATCAATCTCTTTGAACTCACACCCTCATCTATTTTGGTGCAAATCTGCATGTGGACCCATTTATTTCAGATTAAAAATGTTCTATTTTGATAAATCCAAAAGAAGTATGCACCCACAGACTCAAGTCAAAATAAATGAAGGTGTGAATTAAAACAGATTGGTTATTCCAGTTCCAGATTGTACTCTATGAAAAAGTGTTTTTAAAACTAAATTAATTATTAGAGTTTGAGATCACTTACCACATAGCCTAGATATAGTTTAATACCTTTAAAACCATGTCAGCTGGTACCTAATTAACTCTAGGGTGTTAACAGCATTAAAACTATTTCTACACTGGGTACAAAATGGTATTTCAAATCATGTTAGCAGACACAATTTAAAATACACCTTTTACCTGCAGACTAGACAAGGCCAGTTTGCAAAGCCAGAAAATAAAACCTTGCATTGATTCACACTTGTTTCACATTTTTAAAGTTATTTTCACATCCACAAGGTCTAGAAACATCTTTTTAAAAAATGAAATAAAACATAAGAATGGCCATACTGGGTCAGAACAAAGGTCTTCCGATAGTGGCCAATGCCAGGTGCTTCAGAGGGAATGAACAGAGGGAATGAACAGAACAGGTGATCATCAAGTGATCTGTCGCTTCTGGCAAACAGGGGTTAGGGACACCATCTCTAGCCCTTGTAGTCTCGAGTACCACCATCTCTTTTATTCTAGAGCACAAGTCTGCTTTAAGGGGTGGACTGTGTTGCAAATTCTACAGCTGGGGAAGCACAGCACACATAGGATCCTGATTATTTCAACAGAGAAGACATAGCCTAAATATTTTGCAAAGAACAGAGTCCCAACACAGCCCAACCACCCTTACAGCAGTACTGGCTGATAATTTGGCTCATTAGCACAATCTGATTGGTCAGATTTGAGAAATTAGAGCAAATTCTCAATCAGTCAATGAACAAATATTAAAGAAAGCTGTGCCCACTACAACTAATCTCAATTAATCTCATGGTCACATTCAGACTTCTCAGCTTTCAGTCTGAATACCAGTAATAGTTTAAAAGGTGATTACAGAGGCCCGCACCTGGAATCAAAACAGATTGCACAAAAACAAATCACTTTGATCTGGACTAGACTAGATGATCCTAAGTAAATTAAAAAAATTATTTCCTATACTACTGTCACATCCTAACCCCTTTGCCCAATAGGAACAGACATTACCTTGATCAAACTGTCTCTGCAGACTCTCCATTTCAGACTTGTTTCCACTCACACGATAGATTCCTTCAGTATTCAACCCTAGTGAAACAACAAGGACACAAGAAGTCAGTGCAAGGACTGGAATCAGAAGGGTGCAACTTTGTGGAAGTGTTATCTGGGTGGAACCGAATTCTCTGCCTACAAGGAGAAAAAAAAATGAATCAGTGCAAAGCCTACCATGTCACAAGAACTGGAAAGTGGTGCACAACTTTTAATCCTTAGAACAAGCAATATGCTTTGCAAAAATACCCAGAGGGAAAAAAAAGACTTGTGCTTCTCTACCAGTTTTCCTCAGAGGATTTCAGGGTACTTTATAAACAAACAGTAGTTAAGCATATACTGAGAGAGAAATATAATTAGGTCTAGTCTACACTTAAAAGTTGGGTCAACATAGTTACAGCACTCAGGGATGTGAGAAGTTCACACCCCTGAGCATGCAGCTAAGCCGACCTAACCCGCAGTGTAGGTGCCGGAGAGGTAGATTACCTACAGCAACAGGGGAAAGAAAAATCCTTCTGTTGCTGTAGGAAATGTCTACAGTACGGTGCTATAGTGGCATAGTTATGGTGGTGTCACCGTGCCACTGTAGCACAGACATGGCCTGAGTCACCATTTGATAGATGGGGAAAGAAACACAGAGGTCACACTGCAAGCCAGTGCAGAATCAGGTTTAGAATCTGGGTCTCTGACTCCCCCCTCTGCTCTAAGCAGAGGACAATACTGGTTCTTACCTAAAATAAACGTCGTGGCAACTGCAAAAATAGCTTCTATAGGATGTTAACCTGTTAAATGAATATACTGAACAAATAACATTGTTTCACTAAATAACTTCTTGGGGCATAAAATTAGATTTAAAAAGGTGCTTCTGTTTTCCACACATCTGTGCAACAGATGGAAGAAATAAAGCAAGTGACTCCTGATGTCCATGGGTATTTGGAATCCGGCTAAAGGAAGAAGCTACCCCTCCATTGCTCCTTTCCTTATTACTATCCCAAGGACAAATGCCTGTACATACAGCCGCTCATGCAACTCTGTTGCAGTAACCACAGCATATACAGAAACGATTGGACACAAGAGGGCGAGGGTGATCACTTGCAGTGCAACTAGAAGGATATGCAACTCTTGCAGTGAATCTATACGCAGGGAGAACAAATGTCTCAATTTAGCCATCATTTTAATGGATGCTTTCTGAGAAGCCCACGTTCAGTGAGATAAAAGCAGAGAACCTGTCTTATGATGCGCAGTACATTAATGCTATTTGAATCTGAAGGGCAAAGGATTTATTCAATACACAGGTCATCAACTGTACAGTTTAAAAGCTTTTAATTGCTAAAGAAGTGGTCTGTATCAGGGTCTCATTTCACAGAAAGAAACTCACCTCCTCAGAAAAACAACAACACTGGGTTAATGGATCAACCCAGAGGATCATAAAATTCAGGGCTGGACACAAAAGAATCAGTGTCTGTGCACTTGGAAAGAAAAACAGGAACAGCTGCCACCATTTGTCTCCCTGCGGCCCAAATTCAACACAAGCCATTAGACAGCGGGGCTTATTAAGGCAAGTACCTGTTTAATGCACACACAGAGCAAGAAAAGAGAGTTCCATCTCTTTGCCTTTAATCTGAAGCTCTGCCTTTCTGGTCCTTGCTCACACTTGTCTCAGGCTAGGTCTACACTACCAGGGCACATCAACCTGAGTTACGCAACTCCAGCACCGTGAATAACGTAGCTGGAGTCGATGTAGCTTAGGTTGACTTATTACGGGATCTACCCCACGCTGGGTCGACAGGAGAGTCTTACCTTACTCCTCTTGTTCCTGGTGGAGTACCACGGTCGACTGGAGAGCGCTCTGCCGCCAATTTAGTGGGTCTTCACTAGACCCACTAAATCGACCCCTGGTGCATCGATCACTGGAGCATCGAGCCCGCGGTAGTGTAGACATAGCCTCAGTTTGACTCACTACTGATGGACATACCCAAACTGTCCAAAGATGACTTTAAATTGACAGTAACTAGTTCTTAAGATTTGTTTCTGGCTTTTGCCGTGCTATAAAATACTGTTCATATTAAGTGTTCCCCAGGAGTTGCACTTTCCCCAAAGATTATTGTGCTCTGCTTCTCGTGTTTTGTTACAAGCCCCAGCCCATGGTGAACCATTACTGCTACAGCACCATGTTCCCAAGAAAGGGGCAGCCTAGACAGGGACCCCAGTGCTAGTTCCATTTTCATATAAAATGGGAGAGCCACAGAGAAATCAACGCAGGGATGTGCAAACTGGAAAAAGAAAGCAGTGAAAAATATGAAGAGCTGTTTAAAAGCCTAGTATGGTCATTAAAAGTCTGCATTCTCCCTAACTCCTGTTAGCAAATCTGCCCTCAATCATTTCTGTCACACCAAACTCACACATAACAAAGCCAGCATCGTTCTTGCCTTAAGTAACACTGGTACTGTTGAACCTTACAGCGATACTAAGCAATGAATGCATGAAACAAAAGGAACATCAGTCACAGACATTCTGGCAATTTCTTTCTTTTTTCCCCAAAGACTCGTTGCTCAGACATGTAGATGGAAAGGGATTAAACACTATGGGACTGCGAAGACTGCAGATGGCTCCACAATTGTTCCCCAATTAATTTTTTCTGACAGAACATCACCACTCAGCACAAAGTAAGATGAGTAATTCCTTCTCTTAATGACCGTCCACCATAGCCGCTAATAAGAGAAAATGACAAATTAATTACCAGTAGCTTAAACGAGAGGCATAATGCTGACAACATATATAATGAAAAATTGAAACAAACGTAACTTGTAAATTCAAACCATCCCCTTTCATGACTGAGCAACAGCAATATTTAATGTATGCATTGGTGTAGCCATGTTGGTCCCAGGATATTAGAGAGACAAGGTGGGTGAGGCAATATCTTTTATTGGACCAACTTCTGTTGGAGAGAGAGAAGCTTCGAGCTTACACGGAGCTTTTCTTCAGGTCTGGGAAATATACTCAGGCCATGTCTACGCTACACTCCCACTTGCTTCAGAATAATTTAGAAAAACAACAAGGAGTCCAGTGGCCACCGGACTCCTTGTTGTTTTTGTGGATATAGACTAACACTACTACCTCCTGATACTTGACACCATGCAAGAATAATTTGTGTCATTCAGGGGTGTGAATGAGTCACACCGACCTAAGCACCAGTACGGATAGCACTATCATGCCGACATAACTACCGCCTTTCGTGGAGGTGGATTTATTATGCCGATGCAAGAGCTCTCCCCCGTCGGCGCAGAGCGTTTTCACCAGACGCTCTACAGCGGTGCAGCTCCGCTGACGCCATGCTTCTAGTATAGCGTCACTCTCATTGTCATAGCTAAATGTAAAGCGGAACAGATTGGTTAGCATAAGTAGTTAACATATTTCAAGTCACCACTCAAGGTGAAGTGACCCATGAACATTACCTCCCAGCCATAGGAGGAGGGGAAAAGCTGGGGCGGGGGGGGGGGAGAGGTTAAGTTATAGATTGTTGTAATAAGCAATAAATCCAGTGTCTCTATTCAGTCCATGATTTTTAGTATCTAGCCAAGTCATGAATTTAAGCTCACAGGATCATCTTTTGAAGGTATTATGCGGGTTTCCTTTGAGGATGAAGACTCTTCTGGTTTTCAAACAACCCTCCATACTCTCCAAGCTCGTTATCAGAAGCAAACGCCCCAGAGACCAGAACCCACCAACTCAAAGCAGCACCAGATCTTGCCAAAACAACACATGTAAAACCTGTAGTCATACCTCCACTGCTACTACGCTCTTGATTAACTCACAAAAAAATTAATAGAAGATAAAAACACCACATCATTTGTGGGTGAACACTTTTGACAAAGCGATCACTCTATAGCTGACATCAGTCCTCAGCCTCAACGGAAACCTGCACGACACCTGCAAAAGATGAGCCTGGGAGCTTAAATTCATAACTTTGCTAGATACTAAAAGACATGGACTCAATAGAGACATTGGATTTATGGCTTATGCTAAACAATCTGTTCCACCTGTACTTCGATATGGCATGAGTACATTTCCCAGACCTGAAGAAAAGCTCTGGGTAAGCTCAAAAGCTTCTCTCTCACCAAAAGAAGTTGGTCCAATAAAAGATATGACCTCACCCATCATGTCTCATCAGTATTTATTAACTGACTTAATATTTCCGGCAATCCACTTCCATGTTTATTTTATGAAATCCTGTTTTACACCAGCCACACAGACATTGCAAAGCTGTAGCATCAAGACAGGCTACACATCATTTGACCTGAACTGAACTATTAATATCAACCACTAATTTCATATAAACAGAAATAAAACCTGGGAAGAAGCTGCAAAGGAGTAACTTGACTTTAAGACACAAAGCCCTGTCTACACCATTGCTAACAAGGGTCCAGCTCCATCGGTTCTGGCAATGTTGGGAGCTCCAGCATAGAAGGGAATTTTTGCCCCATATCCATGCAAATCCCCCAAGTAGCTGCGCTACAGCAGTGTAAGACAGGGCTTGCATTTGAGAGATTTACTGGAACCTAAATGTGCAAAAAAGCAGTAAGATTTATCCTCAGACATACGGACATGAATTTTGTGAAGAATCAAGATAACCTGTCTGCACACAAAGGCAATAGATTTCCCAAGATATGTATGTATCCAGTGCATGAGGAGAGGATCAATCCATTCATTTTGAAGTGAAACACACAGAATGAATGGGTACCTGAATAATGGGGATACAAATCCAGCATGGGGTTTCTATGATAAAAAGGTAAAACTTTTTAAAGGGAGATCACCAGAAAAGGTAGAACAGCACCATAACCAACATGATCATTTATATAAGGGTCATGCTCATTACAGGGTCTATGTTCATCAAAGGTTTCTAATGCTACCTGCCTTCTGCTCTTGTCTTCTTCTCCTCAACGATCAGTCTCTGGGTGACCCACCTTATTGCTCCTAACAGTGCCCAAGGTATGCTCCAGCAGCACCGACTGGTTACATCTGGTAATTCATGTCAGTGT